GAAATAGGATCTTTGCAGCTGATTAAGGGAGGATGAAGTCATTAGGGTGGGTTCTAATCCGACTGGCTGGTGTCTTTCCACGTGATGACAAAGGCAGAGACTGGACTGATGCAGCTGCAGGGAAGGAGTGCCAAGGATGCTGGTCATCACCAAAAGCTGGGAAGAGGCAAAGCGTCCTATTGGCACCTTGATTTTGAACTTCTAGCCTCCAGAACTGTGAGACAAATTTCTTTTGTTTTAAACCAATCCATTTCTGGTACTTTGTTACAGCAGCCCCCGCAAAGCAATACAAGGCATATAGCCCAACTGCCCTCCAGAAAGGCTGTCTGAGTTTAAATTCTCCTTGTAATAAACTGTCTTTAGGTACATTTCTTTTATGAATGATAAGGTGTCATAAATTTTTATATGTTTGCCAACTATTTGCATTTCTCCTGTGAATTGCCTGTTTATACCTTTTGCCCGTTTTTCTATTGGGATGTTCATTTTATTTCTTATTTGCTTGTGAGAAATGTTTTCAAATGAGAAACATTGACCCGTTCCCATTTATGGACTGAATATTTTTCCCCTTTTAGGCATCTATCTTTCACCCATGTGTCTGCTTTCTCTTATCCCTCAGAAAGCTTTTAAAAATATAATCAAATTTTTTGTAGCTTTCTTCTATGGTTTTTGGTTTTACAGAAAACTTAGAGAAAGTCTTTCCCCACCCATGATAATTTTAAAAAGAAAATTATCCATGTTTTCTTCTGGTACTTCTATAATGTCATGTTTTAAAGTTATATCTTTGCCATCCCTGGAATGTATTTTCCTGTGAGAAGGGAGATTGGAATCAGGTCGCTTTTTAGAGACTGGACAGTACCATGCAGTGAATAATCCATCTTCTCCAGCTGATGCGAATGCCACCTCCATCGCATCCTCAATTCCCAGTGTCCTGGAGTCTCTTTTGGATTTTTTATTTTATTTCTTTTTTTTCCTTTTTCTCCCCAAAGCCCCCCGGTACATAGTTGTGTATTCTTCGTTGTGGGTTCTTCTAGTTGTGGCATGTGGGACGCTGCCTCAGCGTGGTCTGACGAGCAGTGCCATGTCCGCGCCCAGGATTCGAACCGACGAAACACTGGGCCGCCTGCAGCGGAGCGAGAGAACTTAACCACTCGGCCACGGGGCCAGCCCCTCCTGGAGTCTCTTTTGACTCTTTATTGTGATCACGGTCACAGTTATCCTGACTGTAGTAATCTACTCACTTGTCTTTATTCCCAATGGTCTGTGAGTCACTTGAAGATGACCACTGATCCTGTTCACCATTGTGCTTGGTGACCGGCACAGAGGAGACACTCAGTAAACATTTGACCAAATCCACGAGTGCTGACAGATGGTGTCATGAGGCACCATTGCACTTTTTCCTGGGGTGTCCTACCCCCCAGTGCAGACGCACAACTGCTGCTCGTCTCCCGTGGAGTGTGTGTACACGAAGGGACCACTCAGAGGGAGTTCGATGATCAAAGGGAGGCTCCCACTCCAACGGCCGCCTGTTGTTTGCGTTTCCAGCTAGGTGAGCTCCCCAGAAAGCGACCTGAGCCACAGAGCACGTGGACCAAGGCCCTGAGCAGATCATTTCACTGTGTCATGGAACAGACAATGGTTATAAGTCTCCATGGGAAAACACTAGATTGTAGTCCAAAATAGGAACTGTTGGGGTTTTTTTTCTTTCAGTTTAAGGCAGTTTGATACTTTGAACCTTAGGGTGATGAAGTTGTTGGACTTGATGTAAGGGGTTCAACAAGAAGGCAGGAGGAAGAGTTAAAACCATTAATAAGAGAGAGTTTTCCACCCAAGTCCTGGCACTCTGTTTCCAGGTCATCAGCGGCTTGGCACAGTGGGAAGGTCTCTCAGTCTGCAGCTGGGAGGACCTCACTCGAATCTGAATTTGCCAAACTGAGCACTCTTTCCACCGTATCAGGTTGCCCAACTGTGCCCTGCAGTTCAAGGTATGAGACTACACTATGTTAAGCTTCCTGGCCTCTACCCCGCAGTGACCACTCCCGCCAGCTGCCACCATGAGGGCTTTCTTCCACACTGAGAGCTTCTGCCCGTCGCTTCTGGTTCTATGTTTTGATGCCACACAATGCAAGTGGAAGCTTCCTCCCTGTGTTGGCACTTTTACTATTAGTGGCCAGAAATCACAACCCCTTTAAACACTTCTTCTGCCCGTATAGTCCCATACAGCCCTTTCTTCCACTGTTGCTCATGGCACTGATTAATTGACACTTGTCAAGTGGCACAAGGTTTAGACCCTCGTTTTATATATGACTTGGATGCCTTACTGACAAGAGACAGCATGCTGCCTGGCAGGATATGGACAAGGACATTGAATCATGGGGTGAGGAATAGACTAAAATCCCTTCTGAGTCTCCTCCAGTCTGATGGTCTCCGGTTCGGTGGCTTTAAGAGGTGAATGTCTTGTGTCTCCAGCCATCCCCCTTGGGAGGTCAAGCTGGACCCCCAGTGCTGAGGGGAAGGAGAAAGCACACAGATGACCACCAGAGGGCGCCCTCCATGCTCCTGGACCACCCCTCTCAGGGCCCTCCTTAGCTGCCCAGACCTGCAGGCTGCATTTCCGACGTGCAGAAAGAAGGCCAAACACAACCACCCTTACTTCCTGCCCTCCTCTTGTGGTGGAAAGACAATAGTGGAGCCAGGGGAAGAGTGTGGGTGGCAAGGAAGTGGGCAGGTCCAGGTGCCCTGGTGTGGGGCCCTAAACTTTGCCTTCAGGCCTCCCTCTGCTAACACATTTGCTCTGGGTCAACTACACAACCCTCTGCTACTCTCCAGATGCTCTGGCTTGGTCTATCCACATTCTCTCCACTTGCTGAGCTCCCGCACATCCTTCAAGGCCCACTTCAAATGCTGCTGCTAGTATTCTCCCAGCCCTCCCGGTTCTGTGCTCCCACGGTGCCAGCATTCATTGTTTTCAGTAGTAATCACTTACGTGCCCTTCTCTCCCGGAGAACATGGGCTCCACCGGGACCATGACAGCTCAGCTCCAAGTAGAGGCTTGTGAGCACCGGGCCTGGCACAAAGTGAAGGGCGTTGAACTTCACCTGCAATGTATTCTGTCTTCACTTTCCTCCTACACCCTGAGAGACCTCCCTGAGGGCAGGCGCTGGGTCTGATTCTTCCTTCTCTCTGGCCCTCACTGCCCAGCACAGGGCCTAGCAAAGTAGGCCCTCACGTTTGCTAGAATGAAGTGGCCTCCTTCTGTGTGAGTAACCCACTTCTCTCTGTGGATGACCTGGCTCTGTTTTCAGTCAACATGTACCCATGAGGCATTTTCTGCCGTGCCCAGGACTGTGCTGGGTGCCGTGGTTGGGGAGTGGAGAGGAGCCCCCTGTCCCAGCTTGGGAGAGCAGACAATAACAGAAGAGAGATCCGTGGCACCACCCTTGGAGCACCTGGATCTTCATCAGTCTTCCATTTTACAAACGAGGAAACTGAGGCTCAGAGAGGGGAAGATTCATCTAGGAAGTTGTTGACAAACTGAGCCTGGAATTCTGACCTCCCAACACCCCAGGCGTGGACTTGCTGTGCAAAATGCGTTGAGGGAAACAATAGTTCTAGCAAGTTCGCTGTATCCCAGCTGAACAGGGCCATCCAAGGGCTTAGCGGAATCGTTTACTGGATGAATCAATGGAAAACAAACCAAAGAGTAGATTGATGATGTGACCTCCCAGAGCCCCGATGTTCCTACCTGCAAAATGGAGATGATAACCTTCCAGGTAAGTGAGAGGAGGTGAGATCAGGCATGGAAAACACAGGTTTCAGGCCCGGGTCCCCAGCAGGTGCTCAGTAATGGGATTTGTCACTCCTGTGCAGCTGATGGTGCACATTTCCTTCCAGTTCCAAGCCCCGTGACGTCCTGTTGGTAGCTTGAAAGTGGCCACGGCGGGAAAACTTACATCACGGAAATTAGCAAACACTACACATCAGGAATCTTTTCTTTCTTGAGAGCCGGTTGTTAAACACCAGACATCCCAGGTGTCATCACTCTCGCCGAGAATAACTTGTTCCCTCCGAGCAGACGCAACGCACGCAAGTTTAGCTATTTTTACCGGCATGACCGCTCATTTCGGTCACAACAGTCAATTCAACAAAATGGTTGATTGGTTTCCCCACCCCGGCCCCCATTTTAGGAGCCATGAGCCTTACTGGGAACTCTGGCTTGTATTGTTTTGGGGAGGGACCCAATTCAGTCAAAATGGTCAACTGGACCCATTTCTTTTCTTTTCTTTGTTTTTTAAGATTGGCACCTGAGCTAACATCTGTTGCCAATCCTTTTCTTTTTTTTTTTTCTGCTTTTTCTTCCCAAATCCCCCCAGTACATAGTTGTGTATTCTACTCGTGAGTGCCTCTGGTTGTGCTATGTGGGACGCCACCCCAGCATGGCCTGATGAGCGGTGCCGTGTCCGCACCCAGGATCCAAACGCACGAAACTCCGGGCCACTGAAGCAGAGCACGCAAACTTAACCCCTGGACCCATTTCTTGATGCGGCCTGTTACACACCCTTAGAAACAGGAGCTTTTCCCTCACTTCCCTGAGCAGAAGCTGGGTCGGCCGTTCCATGGTTCCCCGGGGTTGGCAAGAGCTCCTTTCCTTGTGGGATGGTGTGTTAGTCACACATGAGCTGGTTTCTTACCCAGATCTGTCTCTGGGTGGGAGGGGGTCCTCTCACACCTCCGGAGTTCCAGGAATGCTCAGGACGGGCTCGTCTGTGGGGACACCGCCACCCCCACCCCTGCCATATGCTGCCAAGTCTGTACCCTGGGGCCTGACCCTTCCACACCAGGATGGTCCTCTGGTGGGCCTTGCGGGAGCACAAGGGACAGTGAGAAGATTCTGGGTCCCAGAAAGCCTAAAGAGTGGCCTCCCAGGAACAGACATTGGCTGCCTGGTGGTGGCGCCTGGGCCTCTCCCCGGTGGGCTGAGCAGAAAGGGGAAGTGTGGACAAGCTGGCGTTCACTGCTCTGTGGTGGGTGGAAGGTCTGTGGGCAAGGACGTCTCTCACCAGCTGTGCCTGAGCCACCGCACTCGGGACACTGCTGTCTCCTCAGCCACTCACATCTGGTCACCCTGATGGCCAAGGTAAGCATCTGAGCGTGTGTCAGTGTGAGTGGCCACCTGGGCTTGGGCTGGGGTCTTGGTACGACGGCTGGGTGGAGTTGGAGAGACACTGGCCTTGAAAAGTCCACTCTGCCGGTCACCGACCGGATGACCTCAGCATCCCTTCACCCCTCCGAGCCTCCGTTCTCTTGTGTGTGTGTGTGTGTGTTGCGGTGATGAAGAACCCACCTCGCAGGCTGAAATGACTTAAGGACCCGGAGTGAGATGTGTGTACTGTAGAGGGGCTGTTCTCACTCTCTGGACTCTGATGGCGAGATTGGTGACTGATACGTGACAGGACCCTAATGGGCGGGTGCTGGAGCAGGGGTGGGGGTTGAGGCATTGACTCCATGTCAACTTTGGTCTACACTTTGGAGCCCTCGGATGAAGAAGCTGGAACACCACCAGCTTTGGTGTCTTTGTCACTGCCTCTCTGGTCTTCAGGGATTTATTTATTTATAAGGCATCCTGCCTTCCAACGGCATCGGGATCCAGGTGTGTGGGGCTGGGGTCAGATCTTGGTTGAGTCATCTGCTCCTGCCCTCTGGAAAATTACCACAGAGGAGACCTGGGGTCGGCTTTGTCACTTCCACTTCTGACTTCTCACGCATCACTTGTCCCTAAAGCCACTCCCTTTCCTGGCCCCTTTGCACGCAGGGACCTCTGAGGGAGCATCGAAAGGGGGCTGCTAAGCCTAGAGAAGATGAGGCCTGGGAGCTTCTTTTCATTTTTCTAGGATCTTTTGTTTCCTCTCTGAAAATTATAAAACTGCCGAGAAATGGGGAGAACAATGACCTCAAATCCCACTCCCGCCCCCTCACAACAACTGCGGTAAAGTCCTTGGTGTTTTGCCTTCTAGTCTTTTTTCCTAGGCATGAATATTTTGAAAAGTTGTTATTGGGACCAGGCCGGTGGCACAGTGGTTAAGTGCGCACATTCCACTTCAGTGGCCTGGGATTCACTGGTTCGGATCCTAGGTATGGACATGGCACCGCTTGACAAGCCATGCTGTGGTAGGCGTCCCACATATAAAGTAGAGGAAAATGAACAAGGATATTAGCTCACGGCCAGTCTTCCTCAGCAAAAAAAAAAAAAAAAAAAAAGATTGGCAGCAGATCTTAGGTCAGGGCTAATCTTCCTCAAAAAAAAGAAAAGTTATCATTGTTTTATTTTGATGTAAATACATTCTAGAAATAGAAATTTAGACTTCACTGCTGTCGTGGAGGCACAGGCATCCCCAGGCCCCTCTACCCACTTACAACACCAGCATTATTGCCAGACAGCCACTGAGTGACAGGTTTTGAGTTTTCCTCCACATTCTTAGAACCAAACAAATAAGAAAAGTTGGCAACCGCAAGAGACAACTTGCGGTTGAACCCCAGGAAGGACTTCTGGGTTGTAGAAATCCCGGGATAAACTTACTAGGAAGCTTGAATAATCTGCAAATCTAGAAGGCTCAGCTAAGGGCGAACACATCACAGCAAGCATCTCGGAAATACCAGAAAAGTGACTTCTCTGGGAGCAGGCAGCAGGAGCTCTTTTAAGATATGATTCCTAAATTTTTGAAAATGCGTTTATTTTCTGCTTCACCGCAAGGCCGAGTAGTAGAGAAAGAAAGATAGATCCTACTCTCACACACTAAAAAGTCAAGATCTTTTTTCCGTGTTTTCTCCCAGTTTTCTCCAACCACACTCTCAGGTCGCATTGTGTGAAGATGTGGCTGCGGCAGAGACACAATGCTGTATTCTGCCTTTTTCATTTTAAGTGCTTTCCAAGTAGTCCTCTCACGATGTTTTCTTCCTATCACTCAATTGCTGCATTCTATCCCATCAGGTGGCCCTTCCGGAATTTTCTTCCCCAACCCCCACAGTTTGCTAGGTAGCTCTCTGTTTATCTATAGTGAGGTAAACACTTATGCATTTAGGTATCACTTCCTCTGGATTGCTTCTTAGGCTAGATTTCTAAAAATGATACTATGCACTCAAAGGATATGACCATTTTTTAAAATATGTTACCATTTGCTTTCAAAAGCCTTTTTTTAAATCAGTGTATACTGCCACTGGCCATGTGGAAGGATCCGTTTCACCACAACTTCGCCAGAATAGGCTTTTATCATTATTTTTCATTTTTACTAGCCAATAGATGTAGTTTCTATCTGTTGGCCAACAAATATGCCAGGGGAGCAATAAACTATGATGGGCGAGCACGTACGAACAGAGTCGAGTCCTGTAATGAGATAAATCAGACGCAAGACTAACCTGAGAGCCGTTATCAGTGCGATCAGCCATTGCTCTAAAGCAAGCCCGGCCATCAGCACAGCTCTGCAAAGCCAAAAAGGGCGTGTTCAGCTCACCCTCTTCTTAGTCCTCTTGCATTTATACTCAGCCTTTCACAGAAATGGGGGGACAGAGAGAGGGAGAAGAGAGGCTGGACTCCTTTTAGTCACGCTGCCCTGCCCTTCCCTGTGCACACGTGGATTTTAAGTTGCCATCAACTATCCACACGGCCATTTCTGGGGCTGACATCAGCGAGGAAGTCAGGTGGGAACTTGGCCTCACCGAGCACGGGCAGTGACAGTCTGGGAACTGGAGGTGAATTTGGGCAAGAACTGCTCATGCTGACTTGCAAGGGTAGCCTAAATATTACCTACGGCCTCCCAGACCCTCGAGATCTAGGTAGAGAGCAGCTCAAACCCTTGTTCCACGCCCTGCTGAAGTTCGAAGTTCAAAACTGTGGGTTCCCCAGGAGGCCAACTCTTTCCCATGATTGGCACTGCCTCCGAGCCCCTGCGGGTGAGCCTCAGACTGCACTGACCCGGGGGTGAAACTCAGCCCCTTTCTTGCTTCCCCATACTCAAAACAAGACTGCTCACCAGAGCGCTGGCAGAGGCAGGAGGCTTTACTAAAGATTTTGCAGGGGCTACTGAGAGGTTCCGAATGCAGCGATGTAGACAAGTGCACGCTGAACATAATACTGCCCTGTTCTTAAAGTGTCTTGGCCGCCCCATCCCTGAGCACTTCCCACCAGTCTCTTCTTCCACTTCTGTACCATCCGGATGGCTCCCCTTCCTCTCCTTCTCCCATTCCTCCTCGTCCCCTTCTCCCCTAGCACCCCGAATTCCCCCCCAAGATGCAGAAGAATTCAACAGTCTCCAGTTCCTGCCAGCAAACTTCATTCCCTGCCCAGCCAGCTAAGTCCTTTAAAGGCATCTCATTCTGTTTTTCGTTTTTATTTTCTAATGACGTATCATTAATAGTAATAAAATGCATGTCTTAAGTGTTCAATACAGTTCAGTACGTTTGACAATTGTATATACTCTAACCATTGCCCCAAACAAGATGTAGAAACTTTACCCCAGAAATTTCTCTTGCCTCTTTCTAACCAGACTCTTTCCTCCCCCATAGCAACCGCTACGGGGTTTCCATCACCAGACAGTATAGCGCGTTCTTGAACTGCATACAGAGAGACTCCTACAGGTTGTCCCCTCCTGTATCTGGCTCCCCTCACCGAATGTTATATGGTCAAGATTCATCTACGTTGTTGTGTGTATCAGAAATTCATTTGTTTAAAATTTCTGGGTAGCATTTCTTTGCATAACTATGAAATGTCTGTTTACTCATTCTTCTGTTGAGTTCCATTCTATTTTTGTACAGTTTTACATTTTTGGAGCTGACATCCTTGAGTACAACATGCCCAGATGGTTGATCCTAAGAATCTGAGTGTAAGCAGGGCAGAGGGGGAAAAATTTCAAGTGGAGGAAAAAGAAAAAGAAAAGAAAAAAAAGCTGAATTTCATTTTAATTATACATTTAACTTAACCCAGTATATCAAAAACATCATTTCAACATGTAATCGATATAAACATTTATTGATGCAATCTTTACATTCTTCTTTCCATACCGAGTCTTTAAAATCCAGTGTGCAGTTTACACGTACAGCACACTTCAGCTCCAGCCTGCCACCAGCAAGTGGTCGATAGACTCATGGGGTCAGTGGCTGCTGTCGTGGACAGTGCCAGCCTTAGGTAAGGGGGTCTGTGTCGGAGGCTGCACAGCCATTAACGGCAGAGAGCAAGGAGCTAGAGTGGAATCCAGGTCTCTCCAGCTTCCTGCTGAGCGGTGTGCAAATCTGCCTCTTCCAACAGAGGCTTTTTCGAGGGCTCTTCTGACTCCAACTTTCTGAAACTCTAATGTTCCCCCGATCCTTGCATTCTACCCACACCTTTCGGGACTCACGGCTATTTCAGAGCACTTATTTTTCATAAGAGAAACTCAAGTTTTTCAATATACAGGACATGACCATGAGTTGGTTTTGAAATAAATTTAGGGGCTTACACTCAGTACTTTTTTTCAGGACATAGGCTCAAATAGGTGAGAAAATGTTGGAGTGCATCTTGTGTCATCAAGACATTTTGTGAAACTTGCTCATTTATGTGACTATATGAGAAGCTGTCACACTGTAAATTGTATTTCTTCCTCTGAGGATCTTGGTTTTAAAAAAAATACCCAAATGTGGAACAAACCCACAGTCTCCGGAATTCCCAGCAATGGATGGTGAGCATGATTTCTTTTGCTGAATGCCCAGAAATGCCTTTGGAGGAAGTGAAAGTTGGGGCTGGGCTGGTGGTTGCCCTTACTCTGAGTAAGTGCCTCCCACTCTGACACACTCAGAATTGCTACTGGGGGAGAATGTCCTAGGTTATTGGAGGAACGGGGAGAAATAAGAGAGAGGCTGGAACTCCAGCCCCCAACACTCGCAAGGCCTCTGCTTCCCAGCCAGCTGCTTCACGCCAGCAGCCGATGGCACATGGAGAGCAGGAAGCCTGCCCAGGTCATGTGTCCAGGTGAGGTGCTTTAGTTAGAATGCACAGCGCTTGAATTTCAGACCCCGGATCCAAACTGCCTATCACCCTGCTTATCAGAAGGCAAGTCCACTAGTAGCCAAGGAGAGAGACAGAGGCATCAGCCATTCATTCACATATTC